GGACCTTTAAGAAATGTGGTTTTGGTGAGACAATCCTTCACAACAAAGAAACTCGGGTGAAACTAAAAAAAAACAATTATTATCCTCAGCAAATTTATTAACAGATAATAAAGACACTGAGAGTTCAGGAACGTGTAAAATATTAGAAACTTGTAAGGATTTAGATTTTAACGGAATGATCGCATGACCAACACGGGAAATACCTAGACCGTTACTATTACCCACACGGAGAAAATCTGAGCCAATGTACTCCTCCGATTGCCCGAGCAGTCCGGTGTCCGGTGTTGCACGAGCCGAGGCGCCAGTATCTGGAAACCAGGCAGTTGTCTCCGGGGCAACGTCTCCGGCTACTGCAACATTGGCCTGAGCCGGCTAATCACTGTAGCGCCGATAGCAGAAGACGCTCGTGTGCCCCTGTGCGCGACATATCTGGCATTGCGGAGGTCCACGATCGCGCCCCTGTCCGCCGCGTCTGCGTTGTCCACCGCGTCCATTTCCACCACGGTGGTTTCGACCACCACCACCGTTCACGGACTGGTGACCCCTTCCGGTGTACAGTGCCATCGGCGCTCCAGTCGGCAATACTGCCCCACCCGTGGGATACTCATTGGAGTGGATGAAAGCTTGCGCCTGGAGGTAATCGGACAGCTGGGGAATGGTGACTGCGTTGCCTGAGACGGCGAGGGTGGCGGCCATAGCGCGGAATTCCGGGCGCAATCATCTGAAGACATAGAGGTTCTGCTCCTCTAATGACATTGGACGACCGACAAGAGCAAGGTTCTCGACGAGCAGTTGCGCCTAACCGAGATACTCAGATGGCGACATGTCGCCCTGCCTCAACGACTGGAATTGGCCTAGTAGGTTGAGATACCTTACGCGAGTCGACGAACCGAGGGCAATCTCGATAGCCAGCCAAACGCCCCGGGATGTAGCTTTGCCGACTGCCAAATACATCACCTCCTCCGACAAGGAGGAGACAAGCAGCGACAAAATAGATTGGTCCTGTTAGACCCAAGCACCTTACGCGGGATTGGAGGTGGACGACGCTGCTTCATCGAAGGCTTCACCGGCAGTGATCTGGAGGACCGGCGGCGGGCATGGTGTTGCACCGTCGACATAGCCGATCAGTCCTTGGCCTCTTAGGAAGGGAACAATTTGTGTCCTCCAAAAAAGGTAGTTACGTGAGGTTAATTTTAACGAGACAAAATGATGAGCGGCATTGAGAGAGGTGGGTGTGGTCGGTGTGGGTATGGTGGATGTCGTGATGGTTCTCTCGGAGCCGGAAGAAGACATCGTCGGCGAGGAAAGAGAGAGAATGCGGAAAAAAGGAACAAGGCTAACTGATACCAGATGAGTTTAGGGAAATCAGTTCATTCAATAACAACCAGATAGAACATACGGGATATACAATAAATAAGAGCTTCCTATACAATAGGCTAAGAGTGTGGTGAATAAGTCTACACCACACATTATTAAGACTAGAATATTAATTGCACTCATAGTAATAGCTATTCCCCTTGCAGGGGGAATAGGACATTCCCAGGAATATTGTTCCTTGGAATAAAAAATTTTACCAAACAAAGGAATAGGCCTATTACTGGGAATGCTATGCCATTCCAGGCCTATTCAGTGAACCAAACGTGCCATTAGGGTGTGTTTGGTTCGCACATAGGAATCAGAATGGGTATTAATTACTTGGTAATGGTAATGAGTTTTGGTGAAAGTATTTAACATGTTTGGTAGTAGGGTGGAATGAGAATGGTTACTAATAGTAGTGCTTGAGAATGAATAAGGGAATGAAACCCTTATTTTATTTGGGTATGAGTTTTTCAATTGATGGGGTATTCGAAACCCATAGTAGTGTTCTAAAAACCTATCAACCAAACAACAACAATCACTTTCATACTCATTCCTATGGGCAAAACCCACCAACCAAACACACCCTTATAATTCATGTTTTTCTTCAAGTATTTTAGTAGTCTTCTTAATATTTGTCAATGAGTCGTACCAGAATTATATTACTAGTATACCTATTCAATTTACCTACTGCAAATTAAATGCGATATTCGGGCAAGTATTAGTCATGTAATACACTACGCAACCAATTAATTTTGAGTACTCAAATTGGGACACAGAACTCCCATAGTTTGGAGTAAGCTAGTTTTACCACGGGATTCATTAGAGTAGAAACCGAAACACAATCTAAAAACATTCTCTGATCTGTTAATAACATTGTTTATAATTTTGGGAGATGCCATGCTTTGGATCATAATAATAATGCTAGATATAAAAAATGGTAAAAGATGGAATATATTTTGTAATTTGATGAAATTAAATCCATTTATTCACACCTGTACAAGAAAGTGAAGACACAGGAGGTAAATTTGTTTTGGCATGCACATGAATTCTGATCCTATTGAATGTTACGTTTTTACAAGATAAATATTCTTCAAGCATAAATAGAAGGTCTAGCCATTTTTATTTTTTATTTTCGGAAAGAAGGAGGAGTACATTCAGGATTAGTAGCTAATCCTCACAGAGTTTGTGCTGCCCAAAAGGCCAAGTTCATCTTCCCTTATAGCTTTCTGAATCACTCTAGAAGGGTGCTCGAACCATGACAAGTTGCAAACTGAGGCAAACTGTCTCATTCACACTGTTATTTTGTCAAATTGTATTTTCGAACTACACATGTAAAATTTCCAAAGTGAACTAGTCTTTACATTATTATACATTCAATACAATCGAAGAGTCCTTGTGAATACTTTATTACTTTTCAATTTTATTTGACTTATATATATATATATATATATATATATATATATATATATATATATAGGAAAAAAAGTTCAAATGCGGCGGGGTCTTCTCGTGCGGCGGAATTTCAGAATACACCAACAGTATTAACAATATGCACCAACAGGGCCCGCATGGGTAGCTCAACTGGTCATAGAGGTGAAACTCTGGAATAATGACCAGGGATCGAGTCTCATCAACGGCAGTGTGGGAGTAACCTTTCCAAGTGAGAGGGGGCTCCTTGTGCGCAGTGAGCATCGGTCTAGCCTCTATGGTTCATGTTCGGTTGAGTCACCATGATTGCTCTGTCGGGCCGGTGTGTGGGGGGCCCTTAGGGTTGGGGTTCAGCCTTTTTGGAATATTCGGTTGAGTCACCATGATTGCTCTGTCGGGCCGGTGTGTGGGGGGCCCTTAGGGTTGGGGTTCAGCCTTTTTGGAATAATATGCACCAACAGTGTAAGGAAAACACACCACAATGAAATGCAATAAAACATCAAAAAATACACAACAGACCCAAAAAATACAACATATAACTCATCAAAAAATACACAACAGACCCAAAAAATACAACATATAACTCACCACCCCCAATGGTGTATTTCCGAACACTGTATGATGTTTTTACTCACACCTAATGGTGTGTATTTGGTGATGCGTACCTAATTTGTCTCTGTTTTTTGTGGTGTATTTTTCTAACGTTAATGGTATATATTTGTTGAACTATTGGTGATGCCGCACCGCCGCACTATAAGACACCGCTGCACCTGAACTCGCCTATATATATATATATATATATATATATATATATATATATATATATATATATATATATAATATATATAACTCTTACTATAGGTTTTCATAATTTCACTTAGGGTGTGTTTGGTTGATGATCGAGTTTTGTTCATAGGAATGTGTATGAAAGTGATTGTTATTATTTGGTTGATAGGGTTTTAAAACACTATTATGGGTTTCGAATACCCCATGAATTAGAAAATCCATACCCAAATAAAATAAGGATTTCATTCCCTTATTCACAAGTACTACTATTAGTAACCATTCCCATTCCACCCTATTACCAAACATGTTAAATACTTTCACCAAAACTCATTACCATCACTAAGTATTTGGTATCCATTCTGATCCCGATTCCCATGTGCGAACCAAACACACCCTTAATTATTAGCATATTTTAGTAATATAATGATTAATTAATTGATTTAATTGCATGTTTGGTTCATGACTTCATCAAATTTGGTGAATAAGTTTAGAAATTTTGTTATAGTGTTTGATTAATTTAAAGAATAAAAATGAAGTAATTATTTAAAATATAAAAATACCCCTAATATAAACCTGAAATAAATAAATAATATCCATAAGGATTAAAGCGATAGAAAATCAAGTATCTACAACCATTCTTTTGTTGAGGTTAAACGAATAAAACCTTAAGGATCTATATATTAGATTCCTAACCTTAAGGATTTGGAAAACTAAATTGTTTTTTTTTTTAGGAAAAAATTTCAAAAGCTTTATTAAAATAGATGTTCAATACATGAAGGAATAATATCAAACAAACAAGAGGGACTAATCTGAAAATAAGTAGCTCTGGCTAGAGCATGAGTGCGCAAACTTATTTGCTGATCTAGGGAAAATCCGAAAAGACACTGCTTTAAAGTGTCGTTAAAAAACCCGACATTCACTAATCACACATCTTGCGTACGAGAAATAAAACTAAATTGTTATCCAATAATTGAATAAGTTTTTCCTAATTCAAATTGGTACAATTTAATTAAATTAAAGTAACTATTTGGTCCAATGGTACTTGGGTTGGACTTCCATTTGAAAGGTTATGAGTTCGAGCCTCAATAGAGGCGTGATTAGCTCTACAATGTAATAGAGCTACTAACATTCAAAAAAAGTAACTTTTATCATTCCTCCAAAAAAAAAAAAAGTAACTTTTATCAAACAAAAGGGCAGATTTACACTCCAAAAGAAAATTAACCTTAAAATAATTACAAAGGAAAAAAAGAAATATGAGTATGGAAACCTTGTAATAATAATAATCCATAAATAATATTTTCCTAATCCATTTCTTTTTTCTTAAATACTATCTACAGAATCAGTAGACTAAATCGGTACCGACAAATCTATGGCCTCCTATATATATAACTGGCTGTTTTCATGAAATAATTACTCATAATAACCGCTCTAAATCTCTTCAATTCTCTTCTGTTTCTTTCCATTCAAGAAATCAGTGAGCGCTAATAATTCTCTTCAATATATATTGTCTTCTGTTTTCTTTCTTCCATTCTAAAAACCACAGACCGCTGCTCTCGTCTTCTGTTCAATTCGCTTCAAGAATATAATTTGGATGATGAAACCACCTCGGCTACGCAGCCGCCGCCGCCGCTGCCGCTCTGTTAGGCCACACCATGTTTTCTTTCACCGTGTCAAACTCATTGTCACTGTGACTAAAAGAGCTGCTGATGTTGATCGATGGGTCGAGATGACCCTTCACAACCACAGTCATCGCCTACAAGATCTCGTCATCGGACTCGACATTGAGTGGCACCCGTGCCGCCGCCAGGAAGGAGAAGAAGAGGACAACCCCGCCGCAACGCTCCAGCTCTGCGTCGGGAGAAGCTGCTTGGTTTTTCTGCTCCTCCACAGGGATTACTTCCCACATTCCTTACTCGCCTTTCTGGGCAACCCCTTCTTCACATTTGTTGGGGTCGGGGTCCAAGATGACGCAAAAAAGATCTTACGAGATCATGGACTGATTGTAAGGAAAGTTGTGGATTTGAGGCATCTGGCTGTATGGGTTTACGGTTTGGAAGAGTTTTTGAGAATGGGGTTGAAGAGGATGGCATGGGAAGTTGTAGGGAGAGTGATGGAGAAGCCGCTAGATGTAACACTCAGTGACTGGGACGCTAAACAACTCACCTTCAGTCAAATTGAGTATGCGTCCATAGATGCCTATGTATCTTTTCGGATTGGCATCAATTTGTTCATGGCTGCAGGTTGCTTTTAGTAATAAGTTAGTAATATATTAATTTGATGGGTTGATAGCTGGCACATGTTTTGTAATTTTGCAGATCGAGTAAATGTGAGTCCTCAAAGAACTCAAATAAATGTACTCAACTTTCAAATCTACTTTTGCCCGCAATTGAACTCAAGTTTCGATCTTTTGTTCATTACTTTTTTATGAAAATAGTTAAGAATAGTAGCCACTTTCGCAAAACTTGGCCTAGGCGTCCCTATGACGAGAAAATTTTACTCATTAGGCAGCCTAAGCACTCGAGTATGCCAAATGCGACTCCCGAGTCGACCAACTCAATGTCCAACTCGACCAAGTGTTTTTTAGATGTGCAATGTGTACATTGATGTGTTTTTTTTTTTACTATTATTACTTAACTCCCTAGGTGGCGCCTATGCACCATCTACAACATTGATTGTAGCTCTTAGATAGATTATTTTACTATACGTATTTCAACTTATTTTAAAAAATATGATCTTTTGTGATGGGATTTGTGGGGTAGATTGTAGATATTTGGTGTTAAGTGGGATTTCTTCAAAGAAGAAATTGATGTTCCATAGACAGCAGCAGTTGCCAAACTGTTTGCATCTGCTAAAAGGATCAGAGTATGCAAATCAATCAAAGCGGTGCGGTAAAGAATCCGTTAGTATTAGTATTTATAAGATAAGATATACAATATATCTATCTATACTATTATCTAAGGACGAGGAATGATATAAATACTAAAATAATTAAATAAGTAAATGAACAAGAAAATGAAGCTTGATTGATGAACTTAAATCCAATCATTACAAACTTAACAAGATTGCTATTTATAGCAATGTAAAATTACCTACTTTTCTAATTATGACCCTATATAAATTTATTATTATTAACTAGTATTTTTCACTCGTGCGATGCACGGAATGGATTTGTTATAATATATTAAAAATATTTGAGTCGTTATATAATTATTTAAATTATAACATCAAATATTATATAATGCAATTCAAGATATGGTCTGGATCATTTATGTTTGTTGATGCTATCATTGCTTCAATTCGAGAAAATAATTGCTCAAATTAATAGCTAATGTGTAGATGTACGCATGCGGTGCTGTAACTTTAAAGATTTTATATATCATTGTTTAAGATTTTTATAAATTAGACAAATATGCTCGTTCTTTAGCAACTTAGTTATAGTAATCAATTGTTATCCTAATTCATTTGCATAGAAGATATATTTTTGTCTAGATATATAGCAATTTTGTCATTTTGAAAAAAAAAAACATAATATCAACGCTTGTATTTACACATTATTGAAAGCATCTTTGTAGACAAAATTGGTAATCGCAACACAATCTTGTCCATCCTCGTCTAGAGCTAACACCTTCAGGCCATCAGGATGGGTGACTCGGGAGAAAGTCACGTACAATTGTCCGTGATTAAAGACCAGTTTTTTTAGCAATAACCCAACGTGAGCTAGTGTTTGACCTTGGCTTTTGTTGATAGGCATGGCATATGCAAGCATCAACGGGAATTTTTTACGCTGGAACTTGAAGGGCAATCTCGTATCAGAAGGAGTGATGAGAAACAATCGGGGGATAAGAACTTTGGTTCCGATCCTTCATGTATCCCATTAACTATTCTTGTTTCGACAATGTGATCTACCAATCTTATTATGATGAGCCGCGTCCCGTTACAAATACCAAGAGAGTGGACTATGTTCCGCAATAACATAATAGGTGCATTGACCTTTAATGTCAATGAATGATTAGGAAGACCACAATCTCGAACTATTTAAGAATTCAGGAGTATGTACTTCTGATAGATTTTCATTGTCTGATTCTGCCTTACACAAAGAGTCACAATTTAAATATATTTGTCCTTCTGCAGTATTCATGTCGCACATGTACTGATTAATTTGATCAATAACATCTAAAGTCAGCGAGAGGATCGCTCGGCCCTTCTACCTGTGACTCATCAAGCATGTCACATCTCGAGCATGGGAAGGTGCTTTCCACTATAGTTGCTATGGGATCATGTCCACACTTCAACAAAAACCGTGACGGAATATCGATCTCAAATGAACCGTCGTTTACAACCCCTGCAATCTGATCTCCGATGTCTGCAATCCATTTTGAAAATCAATCAACCGTCTGTCTATCTTCCTCTGAAGCTAAGGTCCGTAGTCTCAAGTTCTTTGTGAGCTTTAATACCTTGCAATTTTTTCACAAGTATGAAGAATTAATAGTTGCTCTGACAACTACTGGTCTTGTTGCTTTCGAAATAACATGTAGGATATGTCTATTATATAAGGACGAGAAGAAATGATATAAATACTAAAATAATTAAATAAGTAAATGAACAAGAAAATGAAGCTTGATTGATGAACTTAAATCCAATGATTACAAACTTAACAAGACTGCTATTTATAGCAATGTAAAATTACCTACTTTTCTAATTATGACCATATATAAATTTATTATTAATAATATTAATATTATGGCATTGCTTCCTTTGAACCAAGTCAGAAAAAATTGATCATTCCAATTTCTTTCTTTAATTTGAAAAATATATAAAATATCTTTAACTTGGCGGTCATGGAAACAATACTCAATATTAACTTATTTAATTTTGTTGCAACCAACTCTTTGATTTTATCATACTTGATATCAATGTGTTTGCTACGACTGTGGAAGACTGGATTCTTTGAAAATGAAAGTTCTAACTGATTCTACGATTAAAAGTGTTACAACCTAACATGCCTCTTCTTAGAAGATTGACCAAGAGCATATAGTTGAACCAAGATAAAAAACATATCATGATGTGGTATTTCTAGTCTCAATATCTCCATCCCAATCACTCTATCTGTGTATCCAACAAATTTCACAATTGTATTAGTGGAGTAATTGACATGGAAGTTAAAATTGATGTGGAATCCTTCATATTGAACTTCTTTAAAATACCACAAACATATTTCTTTTGTGAAATAAAAATTCCATCATCCATCTAAGTAAACTCAAGCTAAAGAAAATAATACATTGGATCCATATCTGTCATTTCAAACATGCTAATTAATGTCTCCTTGAATTATGAGATCAATGTCAAATTAGTTCCAGTAACAATAAGATCATCCACATAAAGACATACTATAACAATATCCATAGAGTTAGTGCATTTAATTAACATATAAAGTTAGTTTCAACGAAATAAGAATTAATGCAATTATACCAAGCTCCCGGTATTTGTTTTAAGCCATATAGATCTTTCTTCAACTTATAAACCTTATTCTCTTCCCCTTTATTCACATACCTGGTTTTTGCTTATAACATTTTACTACCAACCGTGCATTGGAGCAGCCAACTTGACCATTAGACTTGTACTTGGTTCTATAGACCCACTTTACTCTAATTGACTTTGTTTTGGAAAATAATTTTGTTAACTCCCAAGTACCACTCGTTTCAATTGCACGAATCTCCTCAATTATTACCTTAAGCAAATGAGTTTCTATATCACCTTCCTCCAAAAGATATAGGGTCACAATATGCAAAAAAGAGCAAACTAAATTATCTCTTTATTAGACCTGTCATTATCATTACGCAAAACATAATCAAGCATGCTAATAAATGGTGCTCGTGTTGAGGTCTCCAAAATGATAACTCAAGTTTTGAAGGAGAATGAACATGATCTAGAACCGATTGTACATCATTAACATTAACGGGAACAACTGAAAGAACAATTGACCTTTCATCTTTAGATGACTAATCTCAGGTACCATATTCATCAAAAGTGACATCCTGACTTATGATAACCCTTTAAGTTTCATGATTGTATAGCTTATAAGCCTTTGATGTGTCACCGTAACCAATGAAAATTAAATAAACTTCTCACCTTTATCATCTAATTTCTTACTTAATTGATCTGACACGTGCATATACCAAACTACCAAAAATCCCTTGAGATGCTTGATAGATGACTTTCTCCCACTCCAAACTTCCTCAAGTGTCTTATCTCGAACACTTTTAGATGGACACTTATTCAACACATAAACAACACAAGAAACTGTTTATGCCTAAAAAGGCTTAGGTAGATTTTTGGATTTCAACACACATCTCACCTTATATATGCATGATATATACATATGCTTTTCCTCTCACTACAAAAAAAAAAAAAAAAAAAAAAAAAAAAAAACCGCAGAAATAGTGACAGAAAAATTCGTCGCTAAAGTGAATTGCAACAGATTCTATCCGTCGCTAAAAGTAGCATCACTAAAGTGTTACAATTCTTTATTGTTAGAAGGTATTTCACTACGGATTTGCTATGATTTTTGTTCATGCTAATTTTTTTTTTTAAAAAAATAAAAATTAAGAAAATTTTGTCCACCGCAAATCCCTCGCTAAATGTCAATTTAACAACAAAATTAAAATCCGTAGCTAAGTTGTCGCTATTTCGTCGTTAATTTAACAATAGAAAATTTCCGTCGCTAAATCCATCACTATATAGGCTTTTTTTTTTTTTTTTTTTTTTTTTTTTTTTTTTTTGTAGTGTCTCAACCATTCCATTTTAGTGTGGAGTGTATCTAGCTATCATATGATGTTGAATACCATTTTCCCTAAAAAAAAAATCATCATAAATAATATATTTTGTACCTTTATTAGTTCTCAAAAGTTTAATCTCAAAACCACTCTACTTTTCAACAGAAGTCTTAAATTATTTGAAAGCATCACACGCATATGACTTTTGTTTTAGAAAATAAGTCTAGGTTTTGATTTTTTGACTTTTTGACAGTCAACAGCTAACCAACATTACCATTAAAATAACGAGTATAAAGGGATTTTAGAGAGAATGAATACTTAGTATTACTAATTGTGCTTCATTTGTACTAATTTTTTAGTGAATGCTAGGTAATTGTTCAGGAATGAGGCTTTGTTCATATGTTTATGGCTTAAGAAAGGAAAACTTGGACTTAGGTATGCATGAGCTTAAAATGAGGACAAATCAGGATGATATTAA